ATATATATATATATATATATATATATATATATATATATATATATCTCCAATAATTTGCTCTATTTTGCCAATGATATGAATATAGCCCGCTTCAAACCAGAAACCCAAGAGATTTCTGAAACCCAAATTAATTTTCGAATATTATTTTGTTTTGTTTTCAAATTCTGCATACAAGAAACGGGTTTCCATTCCTGTTCCCCAAAACAAATTTTATAGCTCGCAATTCTCACAAAGGCGCTTGGATGAAGGATATACTCGAACAATATTTGTAGCAATTTTTTTTTCAAGTTCACAGTGTTCATATTTTTATTTGCTAGTATTTAATTTTTATATAAATACGGTAAATCTTTCTATTTCATTTACACTAGATTGGAACAGAATTTTCATATTATACGTTTTAAATTTGACATATCCCAACTGTATACTAAAAAAAATTAGTATACAGTTGGATGGATATGTCAATTTTAATTTTTTAAAAATGACAACTGTGAAGTTAAAAGAAGAATGTTAGGTATATTGTTCGAGTTTCCTCAACAATATTTTTATAGAATACATGTATATGATTTTCATTGACCCAAGCGCATATAAAACATCTCTCTAGAGTTGTGCTGTCAATGCATAGTATTGAATTGTTAGATTTTAGCTGGTTTATATTCCAATTTTACACAACACTGTACATAAAGAACATAATATACCATATACAGTGTATACAGGAATACGTGGATCAGTTTCTTATGTATAAAAAAGAATAATTTATTAACAAAGTTTTAACACAATCTTTCACTTATGATATACACGGCATTAGAAATAAGAAAAAAAAGTTTTTAATTTTGAATTTTAAACTACAAAAATGCATAATTCATAAATGTAAATTAAATAAACATGTGTAAAATGGTAATTGGAAAAAAATAAGCCAGAAAATAAAAAAAGTTAAAATTTCATAAGAAATTGAGGTCTGTAAAACAGAGGCTGTTACGAGTGTTGATGTTATTACTTCATTTATCAAAATGCAACACTCTTCCCGTATTATAAGAAAGCTGACCATTGCACTGTCCGTAAGGATAAGATGCCCTTTGGTCAGTTGTGACGGTCGGGATAACAGGGGTCTTGTCACTTTTGGGACTGACAGGGAGATGTTTTATAACAAGTGCTCGCTATTTATTATCACCATCATCATGTTAATAGACGATTCTGACATATGTAATCGTTTGATGAGTGTAGCACACTTTTTCTATGATTATAATGAATTTTCTAATTTGCAAGAACAACCAATAAATGTCCAAGTGTTCGTTACGCGAAAATTTATTGAAATCGACATGTGTAGGTATGTCATCTCCCATATTGCCCCACAAAATTACGATTTTTGAGAATAAGTGTTCAAACTGCATGCATATAGTGGATACAATAAGTACGCAAATCATTTATTATGGCGACATGTGTTATACAGTTCAATGAGAAACAATCATTACAATTAAATATTCAAACACCCGGCCCATCGGACCCATATGTCACATTTAACAAAAATAAATGAGAAAACATGTACAATGTATATATATACACATATATTACACGTTGCGTTTTTTGGTACAACAAAATTGCCTGTGCATGTATGATAGATATATAATACTGAATATACATATGTACTAAGAAGGTTAGTTATTGCTGCAAAAACATTAGTTTTGTTTGTTTGTTTATTGTTTAACGTCCCTCTCGAGAATTTTTCACTCAAATGGAGACGCCATCACTTGCCGGCGGAGAGCTTGCAAATTTTGACCTATACTCGGCACTCAGGGCCATTGAGCAGTGAGGGATCTTTTTCGTGCCAGCACCTACTGCGATAAGAGACCTCGGTTTATACGGTCTCATCCGAAGGACCGGTCTCCACGTCCCACAGTGGGATTCGAACCCTCGACGTAAGGATCGACTCCTTACTCCGCGACTCTAGAGCGAACGCTCTAGCTCTAACCACTGCGCCAAGCGGGCGACAACATTAATTTGAATGGAAAATTTAATTTAGATTATACATTCTTAATTGTCCACAAGGATTATGAAGCAATTGTCCACTTCTAGCCCGTCCCATCAGCAAATTGCTGAGAAGGTTATAAATTAAAGAAGAACAAAAAAAAAAACAGAATCAAAGAAGTATTTTTGCAAAGCCAAATTAGTTCGGGTTAGGTTTTTTTTTTTTTTTAGCTTTTTAAAAGTTTTTTAGGGGATCTTAACTAAACGTGTTCGAGACAGGAAAATAAACATTTGACATGGTAGTCCTCAGAAGTTTTGCAAATTATTTAAATATAGAATTGACATTGTCTCATCTCCAACCTGAGAGAGAGATAACTGCGACCGAGTTATAACTTGGAGACACGCTTCTGTTGAGTCTTTTGTCATACGATCACTTTGGTAACATTTATACAAACAAATACCTTCGAATCCGGAATACCTGTCCGAAATTTTGTTAAGTTTGTTTGCAATGTTCACGGTATGCCCGGAACGTTGTAAGTCTGCCGATGTACCGTAGTAAAGCATTGACGTCAATGGCTCAATCAGACCAGCTACCCTTTCTCCGCGAGGAATGCTCAAATAATCCTCAAAGAGAGGGGGTCAAATTGGGGGAGTACTTTAAGTGTTTGAGTTGTGGTTTTAAGTATTGATTTTGCTATCAAATTTGTAAACCAGATCTTAACCAGTAAATCACTCTCGGAAACTCGCGTTTTCTCGTTGTTGTAGGAGTTACTCGGGAGAATGCCTTTAGATTGTGCACTGTCATTAAGGTGCAGAAGTTGAGTCATTTTGTTTACATGCACGATGCAATCACTCAAGAATCACACCATCGCATATACTAGTGTTCTTAAGATTTATAAGAGTTTAGAACAATTTAATTTAAAAGAAAATCTGGTACTTAATTTTTACTAAGAGTAAATAAATGAAATCTTCATAATTTATTGCTACAACTTATGACTTAAGCCTAAATAATTATAAGCATAAAATTTATTAACAATAAATTGTTGTTACTATAAAAATAATTACTAAAATATTTTCATTTATCAATCTTTGTCCTTTGTTTTAAAGCAATATTTTTTGGTATTAGATTTGTTCTAGTTTATCAAGGTTTTACTACAATGCAAAAAAAACTGCACATTTTTATCAAAATATTATTTTACACTGTAGGCCCGAAGGAAGCAATTTCAGTTAGGGGAGGGGTCACAAAATATTTTCAGGTTTTTTTTTGGGGGGGGGGGAGGGGACACTAACAAGCAAATATACATTGACAATTGCAAGCAAAAAATAAAAAAATAAAAATCTGACATTATAAACTTTTTTTTATTAAGGGGACACAAGCATAAAGTAGATATGTTTTGAAGAGTATACTATATGTAGGCATAATTGGTGGGGGGGGGGGGGGGGGGACTCCCCCGTGCGCCATTGGTTCCTGCTGCCGTGCACTGATATTCATGAAGTCCATGTTTCTTCCAACACAGGAAGAAAAATATTAATCATGTGCTTTCAAGAGATTGGGGCAAAAATTATGCAAATGATATTACAAATTTTTGAATGAATTTCACTTTTGTCTCGCTGACTAGTTTGGTTCGTGATAATTTTATTCCATTCATAGCTTTAAGGTCAGCATGGCAGTGTCAAATCAACATCATTTTAATTTTTTTAATTAGCATTTTAAAAAAATCAGCTGCGGTAGCTTCTGATTTCATTGATTATTGCGGAAATAAATCTTGGCTTTCTTTTTATTTGTTAATTTCGGGATATATACCCAGGACAACCTACATATAAATAAATATACTCTATATTGACAAAACGTCCAGTGACGGCAAAGAATCTAGGACATACTTTAACTTGAAATTAGGACAAACGGGGGAATATAGTGTCACGACCTGGAACAAGTGTTTGCTTTTAAAATCTTGGTAAAATAATCAAAAGTTTAAGAATTCTAATTAAAGACAGGCAACCTTCCCCATCTGTAATGCATTTAATAATTACATGCAAAGTTTAATTTTAATCATTCAAAACTTTTTTTTCTTTGGAAATTAAACCATATCATCATACTTTTAAAAACCATATTAATCTTTATATAAGCATCCTGCTTAGTTTATTATATTAACCTGTGTAAGTAAGTGTATATGATGACCCGAGATGAAAATTTTAATTAAGAGCCTATAAAGTTTATAAATATATTTTTATTTTCTGTATTATGCGGGTTCTTATAAAACAATGATTGATGTTTATTAAGTAACTGGACAGTGTACCTGTATAAGGTACACATGTCAGGTGTAAATTTACTGCCGTTCCTATTAACTATCTTACTTACATATGATATATGACATTCAATAAAGTTACAATGACCCCAAGTCAAGTAACATTTTTTGTGTCTGGTGCATTATTTTACGCGAGTTATGTAGATAGATGCCAAAACACAACATGCATGTTCACACAACGAACTGTGTACCACATATAATAGGCTGTATTCATCAAACAAACGTTTATATACTGCACTATATTTAGCAAACTATAATTAGCGACTAGTGATGCTTGAAAAAACCAAGTGCAAGTATGCGGCAATCGCCGATTGCACACGAATCCATGTCCGGAAATCGAACATTTACTCGGTGTTTCACGTAACAGGATTCGTTCAATTCCGTTTAATTTTTCCGGGTCATTGGCCACGATATGCGTTTCTAGTTTCATTTCGTCTTCAACTAATACAACATTTAGAAATAAAATTGATAAGATATGAAATATTAAGATTGAACTTTTGAGATAAAACAGAGTCTGCGTGCTGTGTAGCACATACAGCAGTTTCTGTTTGTTATTGATGTGGGACGTTCGGTCATGACAACTTACACCGAACTTCTGACTATACTGCTAACGCTTATGCCATTTATATAGGTCTCTAAAAATAGACGAAGTTTGTCGTGCTCCGATTGGTGGTTCTCAGTTTGACCTTTTAAATGGCGTGTATTTTTGGATAGGTATATAGATGTTACTTTGCTTTCTGTACTTCATTCTGAATTAATCCGATCAGAACATAATACAGTGTAATAGACGACAAGAGATACACAAAATTTTTGTTTACATTAAGTGATATCCACCATGATCAACGTGGATACTTTGTTGGAGTCCGGCATTGGTTACTCGCAAGGACTTAACTCACCTATGAATGAAAATACTGACATGCAGTCGGTAAGTTATATCTTAATTACTTTTAATAAAATTAATATGTGAAAAAAATTACTTTTTTACACAATTTTGAATAAAATACTTTCTGCTGGATTTTGTCGTCACATTTTCCTCAGAAACGTGTTCGACCGAAAGGTGCCAAAGTCAGCAGCTTATTTTCAATAATAAGACCTAAACAAATGAGCTTAATGGGTGCTTACAAGGTTTCATCTTTTGTAATAATTAATGTCTCAAATTTAGTAGCATCGCAAATCGGATCAAGCGTGATGTATAGTTGCACGGACTGTATTTAATCATATGTTCCTTATATAAAGCATGCAACACACCGGCTTGTTGCAGTTTCATTCTTTGCTTTGAGTGATGGAGTTCAAAGACGAGATTGTTGGAAATTTGTTTGATTTTTCTGCCTTCTCTAATTTAGATTACTTAAAATGTGTAGATCAGGTAAACGTCTACAAAAAAATAAACCAAGAGAGTGTATCACTATTAATGCGAACACAGTTTTGTGTTTCAAATGATGAATATTCATGAGAATTAATCTTTCTTTTACTTTGTTTTAGGGCTGGCATGATATAGAGAGTCTATCCATGATGTATCAAGACAACACACCATACGAAAATGGCATGCTGCAGGCTCTAGACCAAATGAGAACGACAAATATGCCAGGAAAACAAGAGACTCAAGACCCTGCAGGAAACCGATCTCCCTGCGAGTTAAACGACGCTTATGATGAACTGCTGGATTATGATTTTATTCTTGCAAACACCGTTGAAAGTTTATATTCCGAAGAAAACTGTTTGAAAATCAAACAAGAGCAATCTCAACCAAACCTGATTACTGGCGATCCATTACCAGACTTTCATTCTACCTTCTTAGATATTCCTGATATTAAATTTGACAATGCTGTGAACAATAGTCTGCCATCCGAAATGGAAACAATGAAAATGGACTTCAATAAATACATTGTTCCAAAACAAGAATTCGGACATGCAACTGTTTCTAGTTCTTGTGCATCATATATGGGCAATAAATCCCCCGTGATGACTATGCCCAGACTGACCTGCAATGCTACCCCTGTGTCAACTCCACATCAACAGATGCATTATCCAGTTAACATTCCTAGCAATATGTCCCCACCATCTTCTCCAGAAATGCAAAATGATCTCCCTAAATACCGCGCGCCTCTTCAGATGCTGCAACAGCAACAACAGAGTCACTTCCATCGCATGGCTCCACAGCAAATCCATCCCCTTCAGAATCAGCAATACATGATGAACACTAATCCATACATGCAGAAAATGCAACAACAGCATATGCTGCAGGTCCCACACCAGATGATTACACCACCATCATCCCCCCAACTCGTAGACTTGTTACTGCCACCACCGACCGTGGATTCATCTGCCGCCCAACCAAAGAAAAGGGGCCGAAGAACCTGGGGCCGAAAACGCCAAACCAGTCATACTTGCACTCATCCTGGCTGTAGTAAAACTTACACCAAGAGTTCCCACCTGAAGGCTCACTTGCGCACCCATACAGGTGAAAAACCGTACGCATGCACGTGGAAAGGATGCGGATGGAAATTCGCTCGCTCTGATGAACTTACAAGACATTACAGAAAACACACGGGCGATCGTCCATTCCAGTGCCATCTCTGCGAAAGAGCCTTCTCAAGAAGTGACCACCTGTCACTGCACATGAAGCGACATATTTAAGAACTTGCCGCTCTAAAAACTGTCCGGCAATGAAGCCATACAAGGCTGTAATATGATCCATTGTAGACTTAACCTTTCCGTTGATTTGACTGCAAACAAAATTGCTTTTAGGTTTGACAAAGCAATATGCAACGAAATTTTGCATACTTGTAGTCAAAAGGTTCAAGTCGTTGGTCGTAATTTTCCAAAAGACCGGCTGGACCGTTTTGGAAATGCGACGCTGCAAGTGCTGTTCGCTCCGAGTGGCCACAACGCAGGGGAAGACGAAACGTAAAATATAAAATATGAACTGTTTTTGTATAAAACAAAAGTATTTGAGACAGTTGTTCTTTTATTAAGAGCATAGCCTTTATATATTGCTATGCAACTGCCACCAACCCACCGTTAACTCAATCTTCTTTATCTTAGGTTTACTTACTGGCAGCGAAAATATTGTCATTATCAATCAAGAGTGCAATTTTGCCTTTTGTGCCTGGTTTGCACATTGAACGACTGGTTTCGAATGAAATTACTGTAGATCTTTTTTATGATCATTTTTTTTTATATTTACGCAATTGCATATACTCGATACTTAATTCTTAATGAAAAGCCTAATTGAGATTTCCGAAATTATGCTTAATACGACACACCTGTAATACCTATATACAAAATGAAATAAATGTTTGTGTTCATCGATTTGCTTCCTATGAAAATCGCAGAAAACCACTTGTTATTATCCGTTGGTGCTTATATAGATATATATATATATTATCTGATTCACTGTTAATTTATTTTGTTGTATATGTAACATACACACTAGTCAATTTATTCTAATATTGTTACCGACAGTGCCATGCGAATTCCCCAGCTGGTCTGGGAGGGTTGTTTCCATACCTGTTATTTATTTTGATGGTACTAAATAAAAACGTAAGAAATCAAATATGGTGTTTCCTTTGTCCTATACGAAACTGGAAAGAGGAATGGTGAGGTTTTGCTCAATTGGGTGTGAAACTGGAAGAGATGAAAAGGAAGTCGGAAGTCAATATGGCATTTCCTTCGTTTTTTATTCACTACTGTTCAATATATATACAAAGTACCTCTTGAGGAAAAAAAGCATTTAGGTTTCAAACCATATTGATCAAGATACCTCCAAAGTTCATGATGATATGAAAAAATTATGAATGATCATAAGACAATGATAAAGCAGTCGTACACTGGATTTCATAAAATAGCCGTAGTGTTGCAATAGCACAAACTGCTCAATGGTCGAGAAAGGATCTAAGGCAGCCTTCTACCTAGTCAAAAATATCTGACGTTTTCCAGGCTTTTTTCACGATTTTGATATTTTACGTGCAAGGTACGTAAAATATAAAAATAGTAAAAAAAAAAAAAAAAAGGTCAGGAAAACGTCAGATATTTCGGACTACCTTCCACCGGCAACTGTTTCCAACATGAATAAACAATTCTCGAAGTGACGTAAACCAAACAAACATCTAATAAGCGATGGATGTTTACTGGAATGAAAAAAACCCTTAAAATTAAAAAGAACCAACGTAAAATATATTTAAACATCAATTCCTGAAAATGATTGCTCTGCTAAGGATAACATAATCTGAATTAATCTTATATATCAAAAATTTTTAAAACGTACATGTAGTTGTATTTGCAGATGTACTGTATATTATCACCTAGTTAATAACTTAATCTGCGCATGTGGAAAACAGGCCCGTATAGGAAGCAATTTCACTTTGAGGGGGCACAACCATACATTTTGAGTTGGGGGGGGGGGGGCACTATCAACTACCAAAATTCCTTGACAAGCAAAAAAAAAAGGTCATCAGACGTTATTATTAAGGGGGCACAAGTATATAGTAGCTATGTTTTCTATAGTATTCTATATGTTTAAAATTATATATATATATAAAATTATTGGGGGGGGCAGGCCCCCGTGCCCCTTCCTCCGGTTCCTACGGCCATGGAAAAAATACCACTGACACAAAAGTTCACTTTCATTTTCATGCATTTTTGTGAAGTGTATATATGGTAAGAAAAAGAAATGCAAGTTAATGACCAGAATAATAAGCCAAAAATCTTCATTTTTTTTTCGCTCTCAAAAGAAAGCAAACGCCAGCTTTTACAATACATTTATTATTTGTGCTCTATTTATATAGACAATTTACTAGCATTTTAAGTAGTCGATTGGCACGGCATGTTATATTTTTATATTTGTAGGTATTTTACTGTGTAAAAAAGTACTAACTAATAAATAACCCAAGGCATGTTTAATTTCTTTTACTCCTTAAGCGACCATTCTTCAATATAATTCATGGGGTCGTTTGACTTAATGTGTTTGCTAATCTTAAAGAGGAATTAGAAAGATAGTTAATATAAGTGTAGTATTTAGAAAAAAAATAATACATTTTCCTATTGTCTATTAACATTATTTTTACAAAATAATTATATTTAAGATTCAACTTAAAAACACTTTTATCTTTGGTTGGAAAATTTTTACGTAGCAAATCCTTATCTGAAGAGGTACCATAGACTGTGTTTTGTCACCTGATAAAACAAAATAGCTTCAGTAATTAAACTCTGTGAATAAATTAACTTGGACGGTGCAGGACTTCAAGTTAAAGTTCTATGTAAAGGAATAAACTGTCTAAAAGAAACATGACAAAATAAAGAAATCAAGGAGGACAGACAGCATCATCAATTTTCAGAATTTACTTTTCAAGTTTTTTTCAGCATTTTGTCCCTTTTGGATTGACTTTAGCACTGTAAATTTAATAGCATTAGGTCATTGAGAACACAGACCCGTAGGAAGCCATTTTAGTTGGGGGGGGGGGGGGGGTTTACAGCCAAGCATTTTCAGTTTGGGAGGAGCACTACCAAGCAAAAATTCCTTGAAAATCAAAACAAAAAAAGGCTATCAGACGTTATATTTGAGGGGGGCACAAGATGTTTTCTATAGTTTTCTATATATCGGTAAAATTATTGTAAGGGGGAGCTACTATATGATCATGCACGCCCCGCCCCCTCCCCCTTTTTACGGCCATGGAGTAATAATGTAATGAAATCCAAGTACAAAGCGCTACAATGAGACTGGCGGCTCAAGAGAGATAACTCAAACAAATTATTTGACTGTATTAGAGCGTGTATGTTAGAGCACAGGAATTCGCATACCTATCAATATTACCGAAATTTTTAGTAATTAAAAAAAATACGTAATACCTATAATAATTTATTATTATAGGTATTACTTATTTTTTTATTTACTAAACATTTCGGTAATATTGATAGGTATGCGAACTCCTGTGGTTAGAGCAACATACAAATTTTTACTTCATTGTAATTTAACCAGTGACATCAACATGTGATAAACTTTCATCAACAATATCGAATAAAACATAAAAATTTAATTGATACAATTAAATACATTGCATCAGCGAAAAAAGTTTCATATTCTTGTTCCGTGAAAAATGATGTCCAAATAAGTCGCCCTAAAAATGTTATTTTAATTTAAAAAAAAAAATAATGCAGAATTTTAACGTAAAATTGATTAAACATAAATTTGGAGCAGGGCTTTGCATGTGAACTATACCTACTAAAGATAAATTAGTTTTTTTTTAACTTGTGATTTATTTACCTTTGCTGAAAATACATGAAAATCAGTATATATCTTTAACATTATAAACTTTTAAACAGTATCATGCACTGTGTTTTTCTTTCAACTCATTAATTTGCAAGTGATGTGCTTAACTTCAATTTTTTTCGGATAGTTTCGCAAAACACACAGTCCTTGACACAAAAATAGACTCAATATACAGCTATTTAATTCTTACGGATAAATTGTGCCATAACAGTGTATAATACTGCGTATATGTCCATCAGATTCATAAAAAAATAACAACTGATTTTTTTTTTATTGCAGTTTTGCCTTATTTGTTACCCTGACTTCAAAGGTGCAATTTCGATGATGCTGTCCAGAAAAAAAAACTATTCATCGTACTTTGATGTGGAAAACTACGTTTACTAAACTTTGTGAAAATATTCAAAATAATGCTAGAAAAGCTCTGTCTATTCAAATTGCGTGTACCATGATTCGTCGGTGTTCGTGATTTTAAAAAAAATACCATTAAAGAAATGGCTGAAAGAGGAACGAACGACAACTCTGCAAGGGAGATTGCAAAAATAGTTAATTGCGATCTCCGTCATCTGAATGTTGTTCACGTGTTGACTGTCAGGGACCTTATAAATCACCATCTTAATTATACCGGATAAATTATACTGGATAGGGTTCTTTATTTAGATGATATAATTCTACTTAAGATGACAAGGTGAAGTAAATAAGATTTTCTGCTCAGTACTGTTATGTAATGTATTGCAGAGCGCATGTTTGGTCGGAGATAATATTTCAGGAATTGAACAAAAATATCTGCTTAATATGAGCACGATTTCTATCTGACCACGTGACTGCGTCTACACGCCAAATTGTCTCACTCGGATTCCTGTCAACAGCTCCTATACTTAGGTTATTATACAAAACATTAAATTTCGAAGTACCAGTACTCAAGAGGACATCATAGAATTTCAAATTAGAGGAGTTGCTGCTTTATCAGTCATAACCTTTGATTTTAGTTCAATTAAGCTAATAAATTTGTAACATTGAAGTGCAAATGACGGTAACTTTTGAATTAGAAGATTTATCAAAAATCTGAGATACAGTTTTTAAGTTCAATTTTTAATCTACCTTGAGGCAAATTGACCACTTTGAGGGGTTAAATACCAAAAAGTTGATTTATAAAATATTTAAGCACTAAAATTTACATTAACATTGAAATACTTTTTAAATAAGTTATCAATTAAAGTTTAAATTAGGATAATTAAATAGTAAATTTAACAAGCTTTGAAATTATATATACTTTTATTATGTTATCTTTGATAATGAAAGAATTACATGCAAATTAAATTCTGGCATTTGGAAACCTTTGGTGTATCCTTAACCTTGTCAGTTTTTGTTTTGAAACAATAATCTAAGAATACTATTATAAAAATTTCAACATTTTTGGGATAGCACATCGTTATGTGAAAGAGCAACTTAAAACGTTCACAACAAATACTTGTAATGATGGTGACAGAGGAAAAATAGTCTTTAGGTTGTCACAAGTCACTTCCCATTTGAATGATAATGTTGATTTATACGTCCTCGTGTGTGTTGTATTTGGTCTCTATACGTATTTTTTGCTAAAATGTAATGCTTCTAACAAATTATGAAAATAATACCTATTTTGCAGCACTTGGTCCCTTACAAATATTTTAAAACAAAATATTGAAATGGGAATTTTAAATTTGTTTACAATGTTAACAATTGCAAATCCTCCTTCCCAAGCACTCACTATGTTTACAAAGAAATGAAAAGGTCAACATTCTCCATCACGTGCAACATCTTAAACATGATAAGCTACTTACAGACATCTCTGATGGAAAACGCAACGGAAGTCAAGGAATAATGGAATGAAAAAGTAGCATGAGAGAAAGAGAAAGAGGGAGAGAGAGCTAAAGGAAGATACTGATTTACCCTGACGCTACACTGACTTTTATCACTATATTCACTAAACACCTCATTGTATACATTTTTAATTTATTTTTGACATTTCATTGCTCTGGTGAATTTTTTTCAACATCATTTACATCAATTTATTTTCAACATCATTTACATCAATATATTTTCAATATTCTCAGTATCTTACAATGCTACATAGCATTAAATGTAAAAATTAGAGCATGGTGTGTGATTAAATTTTGCGTGATGCCATTTTAATCGGTCATATTTATACATTCTAGGGATTGGATACGTGCAGATTCTTTGAATGATGTAAATCATTTCCTTGTAATAAAAACAATGATTATAATGATTGTCCACTATGTAAATAAATATTC